GTGATATCATCGCAATGCTGGGCTGCAATTTTTAATCATATTTTTAATTTATTTCATTTAAAATATGTTCTCCACCTTAAATTAATGATGTAGTGTCTTGCCCCTGTTCAATATTAATAGTATTGTAAATATGTGTATAAAATATACAAAGAAATAGGTGTACCACAAGAAAAACTTGCCAAGTTGGAGGTGCCACTATTTGAAAAAGATTGAAAAAAACACTGAATTAAGATATCAGTTTACTGTTCCAAGAAAACCAGGAGCAATTCTAGATGATCAAAAATCCCAGAAATTTTTAGAGGATGGTCTGTCCCTTTACCATATAGTTGCTCCCATTATAGGGCCAAGCAAGCCCATGATGAATATGATTAAAAGGCTCTTAGTACTTACAGGAAAAAAAAAGAATAAAAGTTAAATAAACTCAATGAAATATTTAATTATTATGTAATAATGTGTCAGATTATAGTGATGTTTGTTTATATATGCCTTGACAGGGTTTGCGATGGCCGGTTGAGTACTGTACCTTAGGAGCTGTTTACAGGATGCAGGCACTGGATGTGTCTCCAGCTGGCACCATAATAACTGTTGATGGTAATAACATAATGTTACATATACTGGAATACAAGATTGAACCTGAGGTCCAGGTAGCTTAAGTGGTGGCGCATCTTCATTGTAAGCAGGTTCTAGTCCCGCTCCGGGCCGATTCTTTTCTCCCAGTAGTTCTAAATTATTTAATTAAAAATTATAATTATTAAATTTATTAAGAGATGACACCTAACGCCTCCCTCTAGTACCAAATTGTTTCATAATTTTTTAGTATTATAGCCCAATGACATGTGGCATTGATTGGCTTGTTGAATTATCAAATTTTTGATTCTAAAACAAATACACAATATAATGCTTATACAATGCCAGCTAATGTTTTAATGTGGCCCACTGTCTTAATTCAGCAAAAACACATCATTCGTTTTGTTAATAAGTATCAAAATATTCATGAATTTATTCTCAGTACAGTAGAACTCCAATTATCCAAACTACCACTTGCCCTCCTCTCTCCCCCACTAATGTCACATTGCAATTCTCTTATATCATGCAACAGACCCAAATATTTAATAGGATTCTATGTGAAAATTGATGAATAAATAAATACAGTACATGTATAATACTGTGCTGTTATACTGTAATTTCATTCTCTATGTTAATCCAAATCACCTGAAGAACGAATCAGTTCAGATAATCAGAGTTCCCTGTATTTTAATTTAAATCTGTATAAAGTATTTCAGTTATTATAGTTTTATATTGTTGAATTTGTGTATAATCTATAATACTTGTTTAATGTCTACACAAATATATTTTAACTACAATACTGTGGTCCATTTAAAAACAATTTAACCTAATGTGGCCTGGAGCATCAGTTTTGGACCCCTGTTCAAATGTGATAACAGTTCACTTCATTAAACAATAAAGTATACGTTTAAAAGAAATGTAATAAATATAATAAATGTTTATAATGAGAACTGTGAGAACTGACCTTTAATTTATCTAGAAGTGATAACCACAAAGGATATTCTTCAGCAACTGGATCAGTTTCATGATCTGATATATTACCAATCTTCACATGTCCTATAATGTACAATCCACTTTTCTTTAAATCGTTAGCGAATGAAATAAGGGGAATACAGGAACGAGGGTTTGCAACCAAAAGAAGGAACTGCGGACGCCAGAACTTGACGTGATCTTTTCGGCTATCCAGAAGTAGAAGATATTTACGGACCTGTAATGTAAATTATTTGTTTACAAGACCATTAATTAACACATAACGGGTGATTGATCAATGGATGTGGTGCTTCAAAAAGTAATTGGCATAGTGATGCAATCTGGAAAGGTTGCATAATAGCAGAATTGCAGCATATTGCAGAACAGCATATTGCATTGCATAGTATGGTTTCTGCTATTATGCAACTCTTAATATAGATTTAAAAATATCTGGTAGATTCTTAAAGTTTACTAGAGCTATGGAAAGTCAGATGACTCCTATTCTAAGCTAACTAGAAAGATACTTAACATCCAAATATAACCAAATCTGGTATAGTAATATTTTGGGACATAGAAAAGACATTTCCATAGATAAAATTTAGTACTAAACTCATCACTAAAGCATTTTTGGTGCTGCAAGCAACAAACATTTTATTTGCACAAGACACTCATGCTATACAGAAACCTTAGTGATGCCACTCTGCAAGATCTTCTGTGGCCACCACACATCTACTTCCATTCTAATAAGGTCATTGCAAAGGTCAGTCAGGTTTCTCTATTGACAGCGAGCGACACTAGTTGCTGTGGTTGATCTCATACAGATAACATTACAACAACTTTCTCAATACCTTCTACATGGTGCCATAAGATACACACAACTGCTGTGTACCTTATACCACATGTATACTCAGAACTTGCCAGCAACACGTATGCTTATGCAAGGGATATTGCTTTTTCATTTCCATTTTAAAATTAGTGTAATTATTACTTGAGAACATTGTAATGTACATTAAAACATTGGAAACTGTCCAAGTTTCACATTTGCCCACCAGTAATCAAATTCTTCCAATGCTTGATACAGCATATCCATTGTCACTCTCAACAGCACCCATGGCTACAAAAATTCTACAGTTGTGAAGCTTCTGCAATGATAAGTGATACTGACTTTACTAGCTGCAAAACACAAAACACCTTCTTTGTCTCACAGTTGCCATTTTCATTTATGGTACTTCCTAGAGGTAGTAGACAAGAGATGTTTAAGTGCAAATTGGAGATGAAACTTAGACATTTATTCTATCAATTGGAATATGTCACACCCTTCTTGGATATTTAACATAATTACAGTGGTTTAAAATGAAAGCATTCATTTCGAAAGACCCTGTATATTTGGTAATAGACATTACTCTTAGTGGTATATCAATACCATTAACATGAAAAAAATCATAACATTAAGGCTGATATGATTTATGTCAATATCCCCATCTCATTCATTTACTCACAAGTAACATTTTGTTCAATTGCCCAAAATATTTCTATACTTAAAACATTTTTTAATTTCTAAACTTAAAACTTTAAATCTTACCTGATGAAAAATCAATGCTTGACTAATAGAGCCCCACTGAACAGTAGGAGCTCTGAGATGTAGCACTATGAACAAGATTAAACATAGCAATACGGCAACGGAACCAAACAGAGGACTAATAAAGAACATCATTACAAGACAGCCGAGTAAACCAATTACTGTTGTATGCCAAGAGAAATATTTAAATGAGGGTCTGAAAAAAAAACCAAACATCTTTTTTAGATAAATTTAAAAGTATTAATACACAAAACAATATCCTCTACTAACCTGAAATTAGGAGCAGATGCTAAATCCAAAGCTAAACATGCTAAATTTGTGGCAAAGTAAGATAGCAAAAAGAACACCGATGTAATCTGAGCAATCATATTTAATGATCCAATAAATAATATCAGCTGTATTAATAAAATTTTAATTAAGAAAACGATACTGATATATTAATATATACATATATATAATATATNTCACTTATATAATTATACGATTAATTGGTACAATTATTCCCACGCTCTTATAGGGCCTGAGAAAAAAGAATCAAACATACTATTATTCAATTTTTAACTACGCATAAAATAAACAATAATTACTACGTAAATTGCTTTTCATGGTATCGTAGCGTTACGGCAGATTTAAAATCGATTTATTTTGACATCCAGACATCCAGAACATCCACAGGAAATGGCACTTCATACACGCTCCTGTGTTCGCCAATGTCATATTATTAAAAGGATAATTGAAGACATTTCATTTCCATTTCGCTGCCCTTGAGATCGATTCCTCAAACTGCAATTAGCCAGAAGCGATCGCATTTCTTCGAAAACAATGAAAACAATAACGTCCCATGACGTAAATAACTAATTTTGATGAAATTATTAAAGAAAAGACAAAAGGCCATTGTTTAATTTTCACGAATAACCATTTTAAAATCGTTTCCTTCGTTTTCTCCCTCCGAGAAAACGAAAAGAATTGTCACAATTTTCTAGAAAATCAACGGAATTAACTTTATACAAAGCGCAATTTCACTTTCATTTGTATAATAATCGATTGTTACTCTTCCTGTTCCTAGGAACAACGTAAGCATTGCAGATTGGGAGACGTGCAGAGGGTTACACCCTCTCTGCCCCTTGAAGTGCCTCGAAATTCAAGATCCCGTGTGCGGTGACGACAACAATCTCTACCCTAATCTATGTGTTATGCATAGACAAAACTGTGGGTGAGTAATATACATTAAAAAAAAAACACAAAATTTCTCAATAAAATTCCCGAATTTAACGTTTCCTCCAACAGGAAAATGATCTCGTCTCAACCATTGAAGTATTGCTTTGCTAGAGCAAGAGGTAACTGTAATTACTTATTTCATTGTGTTTAACAATAGAAATACACGTGTTTTATGTGTTATTTCAAATTAATCCCTTGTAGAATTTCGTAGTTTCGATCCCTGTCCGAGTAAATGCTTGGACGTCTACAAACCGGTGTGTGGATCGAATGGCATCGTTTATCTCAACGAGTGTTACCTTCGTAAGCATACCTGCGGGTAAGTTAATTAAAAATACACAAGGTAATTTGCATAATTTTTTAATTAATTCAACGTCACAACATCGCAGACAGGACGTAGAAATGGTAAAGATCAGCCAGTGTGTTCTGGTCAGGAAATGTCCTCAAGTCTGTGTGGCTCTTTACGATCCAGTCTGTGGCTCTGATGGCAAAATGTACCTCAATCATTGTCGAATGTTAAAGGATAATTGCGGGTAATTAAAGAGATTTTGTTAATTAACAAAAAAATACCTCATTTAATTAATTAAAGAATTAATATTTCAGTAAAGAAATCAAGAGAATGTCCAGAAAATTCTGTAGCAAGAAAGAATCTAATCTTAGTTCATAAGTAATCTTGAAGAAAATGTCAGAAAATCTATGTTAAATTATGTAATTTCTGACATATTTTTGTTACTATAATAATTAATTTGGTTTTATGTACAGTACAGTATTGTTTTATAATAAATTATACATTTTATAGTTCCCTTTTATACATGTTTTAACTGTAATTAAGCAGCGTGTATACTGTCTTAAGAAGAATTTTATGGACTTTCTATGAGAAAGTCCATAAAATTCTTTTTTTTGTGTTGCAAACGTAAATCCGGAAAGGCAAGGTGCGAACCCACGACAAACTGCAAAACCAAGGTGGCTTTATCTACTTTATGCAACTAGTGGGCCTGTATTTAACGGTCTTATAGGAAACAGGTTATTTTACCAATCGTTATGGTCCCCCTTTTTTACCTTAAGGCACGTATTTTAAATCCTCCTCCTCCTCTTCCTAATCATCTTAATCTTCCTCCTTCTCCTCCTAATCATCTTAATCCTCCTTTTCCTCATAATCATCTTAATCCTCCTCCTCCTCCTCCTCCTCCTAATCATCTGAATCCTCCTCCTCCTAACTCTCATCATCATCATCGTGTTCTAAGCCCAAGTTAACTGCAAATGAACTGTGCAAGTGAACTGCAACTTAAGGACTGCTGGAAGTTCTGAGGGGCCCGGAAAAAGCTATTAGTGAGGTGGTCTTACCCCAACATTCCATTCTTCCTGTGAATTAACTACCAACAGAAAGATTCTTTCTAAGGGCCTTTTTTAGCACGCCTGTTAGCGTGTACGAACAGGCCCATAACCGAAGAATACCTGAACCGACTCGAACACGGATCTCTAGAGTGACAATTCATTTGACCATTGTGGTTTAGTAAACACGGGATAATCTAACACCCTTCGAGTGTTATAAAATGAATTTTCTCCTGTTCACTTACCCTGAATTACACCTAAAATTTGTACTATTCTCAATACAAATTATAGGGGAGAAGAGTCTATACAGAGTGAGTGACTTTATTCGTGTAAAACGCCATTAGCCATTGTTCTCTCCTGTTTTAAGCCATCAAACACTTGGAATTCTTTCGAATCATTCTTTAAAAAACTAATAAATATGTTTTTTTTAAATTGATAAATAAGAGTTTACACAACATCAATGTGTATATTTTGTCTTGCCTGACTGATAAATGTGTATTTTTCTGGTTACGTGGAGCCTGAAACAGGATACGCTATGGTGATTACGTATAACTTAAACACTTAAACATAATTTTGTATGTCATATAAGACTTTTTACTAAGCGGTGCAACAACCTGTAACACAGCGAAGTGTTACAGCATCTCTCAGGATGATGATTTCCCACGTGTTTTCTTCGGCCTTGTGTTTTTCAGTAACTTCGACGATACTAAAGTCGAGGCACGGCCTTTGGTTTTTAATATTCCGCCCTGTGGGCACAAAGAGGGCCTTTCTTTTTTAGCAAGTTCATTAATGGTTCGGCCAGGCTCACGATGGGTCTGCTGGTTGCTGAGGTACGGGGCCCAACACCCGAAAAATCTCAGGTCTCCAAGAATGGTAGGTTGCCCCTTAATTGCTCGGCCGTCAAGGGCACGACTTTAAAAATTCTCAGTGAACTTTGACCCTAAAACGTGGGTTTTCATAGAAATATTAAGATTTGCTGTGTAAAACATTAACTGTAACTATAATTTGCGTAATTGTATAGAGCTGACAGATTGGCAACATTGATAGATCCTGTATAAAAAGAAACCGGACAACTAAAACTATAAATTTTTGGAGTTTTTTATCGTCCAGACTCGAACCCGGGTCCCTCAGAACTGTACGATGACACATTAACCGCCATTATCACAATTATTATCGGAAATCGGCAAATCTGGCAACTCTGTACTCACGCATAAATGAGGTAATTGAAAGAACTTAAAAAATACAAATTTGAGTAGGAACCGTGTGTGTAAAAATTCTACGACTTTTCTTGACCCTCACGTCCCTTACAGTAACTTTATAATATATTAATAAACTAGTAAAAATATCAGAAATTGTAACATTTATCACTTTTTGTACTTGAATTTTTGGGGAAATTTTGGGTCCTGAAAATATTCTGCACCTCTCTTCATAAGTTGTATTGCATCACATTACTTCTTGTCTACAGACTACACTTAGTCAAACGTATTATCAGCAAAAACACTCGAAGGCAGCAAAGGGGAGAAATTCCTTGACTTTTTCCGATCACTAATTAAAATCCCCGATTTTTTTCGGGTGCGTAGGAATCCCCTGTACATAATTTAGAAGAGGAATCAACAATGCTTACTGGATCAATATCGATTCCAAAAATCTTTAGGAGGAGGTGCAGAAAGGAAACATTATACCTTACTTAAGTATGACGGTAGGCAGATGAGAATTTGGCAGAGCGGCTTTGAGATCCAGGATTCGAAACCCACAAGAATTTATCGGGGAATGGTCTGTTTGGATATGTTGACTCATCTCACCACGTGGTGTGGTGTTACTCACTTTCTTTGTTTGGCCGAAACGATGGACATTTCATAAAGAAGGTCTTATTGTCCATTATGGGCACTTAGTGGCCATAATGGACACTAAGAGGCTTTTTTCACACTCTTAGTGAATGGTTTTGGCTGGGTGATGAAAGATGGGGTCTGATGCAGTATCTTGGAGCACGTGCCCCCTTTTCCCAATCCTCAAGTTGATCCCAATTCATTATGTTGATCAAAATCAATTCCTTGTTTTCAAGGCCAAGCTAGCTTCAAGAGCAACCACGTGGGAGTGCCAATCCGACAACGAACCGTAGAGCTTGAAGCTTCTTGCATAATGTAAGATGCCCTTTTTTATAGTCTGCAGGTGCTAATGAGCCTAAATACCCTGAGCTAGTATAGTGGTGTCCAAACTTTTCAATTGTTAGGGCAGATGGACCACAATATTTTTCGATATTCCAAATAAAAATACACTTTTTGTATATCATTTAAAACCAATGTGCCAAATATATTTGTTGTCCAGTAGTAGTTTTGGCACCACTGCTCTTGTATACTACTACTGTATTTACAAAATAGCATTCATTCAAAAGTGAATGCTCTGACCGTCAATTTTCATTTCCCCCTCCATTAGCAGAGAAATATCAACCAATTTCATTCTTCCTATTACTCAAATAAAATGGCCATCTGTCATCTTAGATATAAAGATGAAAAAATTCCAATCAAACCCAATTTCTTTTGAGCTGTTCGTTTACTGTATTCGTACTCCGAGTTAGCGAAGCGATGGGATACGGCAATGGCAACAGGTTCTTGGGTGGTTTACCCAAGAACCTGTTGCCATTGCCGTATCTCCCGTGGAGGAGGTATCTCCCGTGAGGACTTCGTATGGGAAATTGACACCTCTAAGTGTTAGACACAAAGAAACCTGGAAAACTCCGGCCCACTAGTGATGCACAAATCCTCGACCAACTACTGGTGTTATGGTTTAATCCACTTGGCCTTGTGCTCCAGAGAATGAAATGGAAAGGATTTGTATTCATGAAATAAGCCAATGCAATACACGGGCGATCTGCCAAGGAGGAAGTGTTTCCGGATGGACTTTCTATGCAAACTAGTCTGTATTTAGGTGTTAGATGTGAAAAAAACCTAGAAAATGCCACTCTCCCCAACTGATTTTGTGAGGCAAAAATCCACTAAATTAGTGGGTTTTCATATAAACAAGAAATATGAAAAAACATCAAATTATGTTTACATTTGTTTAAATTATCAAATTCAACACAGTTAAACCTGTGTAAACCAGAATTTCACTGCACCAGTTTGGCAGGTTTCCATTCCAAACAGGGTTTAACATGGAAAACTGCTCTGTTCCGAAGAACTTTTCTATTTAGGCTGGTGTCCGCTTTATTCGGGTTCCATTCTGGATGGGTTTCAAGTTTCAACGTATTGAAATTTGTTGAATAAGCATAATTAACGACAGTCACAGAAAAGAACAGCGGCAAAATCTTTTATTTAAGTATACAACTAGCATGATAAATACTTATTATGCAGTCTATATATACATTTACAAACATTTCTTTGCTACAAATTATAATAGGTATAAGTCTAATAATATAATTAATTACATCTAATGGGAACTACCCAAATGAAATCACTTATGATATAAAATTACATTAAAAAAAATGTTTTATACAAAATATATTAAATTATTTGTCGTCACTAGCAGTAAAAGGCAGCAAGCCAGCTTGTCTGGTAAATGTTTTCCTAAATTTACATCTTTATAAAATATAACGCATATAAAATATGAATTAACGAATCAATTACAACGCGTATATACTGTATATATCACAGATTTGTTTATCTAGTCATGCATTGCTGTAGGAATCACGACATTAAAATAATGCTACAAAATGTTTTTGACTTCCTCAATTATTAAACAATACTTATCGAAGCATTCTGCGTTCTGCAACACTAAGACAAATCTCTAAATTTTTAGTTACGCTCCACTTTACCAGAGAGATAATAGATAAAGTCCCAAATGCCTTTGAGCCTTTCGTCTTATCATCATGAGTACGCTCTGCAAAAGACACTCTAAATCGATGGTTTCTTTTGTGATGCACACACTCCGAAAGCTTAAAAGTACTCGAGACCCTTACTGTTTCGGGCTTTGAGCCTCTCGGTGATGCGTGTCCATCTTCAAATTTCAAGTTTTTCTGGATGTGAACCCCTGACAACAGGCCAAAAGACTCAAACACCTTCAGGACTTTATCGGAGAGCTCGGAATGATGCCGCAAAGCAGAGTGTGACTAAATTCCACAATGCATTAATTTAAAACGTAATTCTATGCCCTGTTAGAAAATATCTTTACCAATGCCATAAACTAAACTATACTTTTGCATAATTGTCAATTCTAAAAATTCGGAAAAAATATGCTAAAAAAAGTGATTTTCATTAAAAATAGTATATGTATCCTTTGCATATTTATTTGTTTGTATATTATGAAACTGATCAAATTTAAATAGTTTCTTTGTAATTTAATTTAAAAGTGATGGAATGTTGTACACTTAATTATGTTTATAATGTAGTCGATGTAACTGGACTAATGCCATGGACTAAGAGTGTAGGCGGAAGATTAGATGTCAAAATATCTAAGCTCTCTAAATAATCTGCATATAATTTCTCCTCTTTCGGAGGTACGGGTAGATAGATAAAAACAACCGATGTGTTATGACTGTGTGTTCTGATCATTTCATTAACCCCATGCAGATATGTTTTCGGTGGGAAATGACCAAATTCCTGCGAACGCTTTTGTAAAACGGTAATGTGCTCCCAAGGAATGCTTTTGATCGTACCTTTTATCCTCAACATTTGAAGCATGGTGTTCCACTGTTCTTGCCTAACTCCCAAATCGCCGAGGCTTGGCTCCATACACATAAATACTCTCAAAATGGTCTTGGTTTTCCATCCGGGAACCATGTTCAAGATACAAGCCAGCTGTAAAATAAATAACCAGGAATTGTCGATATCGACGAGAGTCTGGGGTGAAAAGAAATTGATCGGCCACACGTCGATGTAGCTTATTTTTCTAGAATTTATCACTTCTGACTTGTTGAGTGTGTGGAAATGGCGAGCAATGCAGACGTTTTTCTTCAGACGGTAAATGGCGTCGTAAATCATCAATACGTATTCGATAACTGACAAGGAACGCGAATCTTCCCTTCCTCTTAACTGCAAGAAGATTCTATCTCCAAGAGAGACATGATAAAGATCTTGAAAAGAATTATTATTCTCAAAAAAGTCCATAGGAACGGCGTCGTCTAAAAACCCAAAGAGTATTGTATTTGGTTTCATAGCACCCAAACCAGAAATTCTAATTAAATGAAGCAAACCATCTCTCACGCTCTGAGATAAAGTCACTTCTACAAATGCTTTAACCTGAAAAAAAAAAAGTTATTATTCACATTAATCAGTTATAAACTTTTATTTTGAAGTAAATATCAGTAGCATCAAAAACTTCCCAGAAAGGCTTGAAACAATGGAGTACACCCGTTAAATACAGTCGACCCCCCCTATAATTACGGTCCCTATAATTACGATTCCTATAAAACTACGAAAAAATATATGTATTTTGGAAATGTTGAGTCGGATTAGTGTAGAATCGATTAATTTTATGGAAGAAAACCTTTCAATCAGCCATAGTCCGTAAACTTGACACGTGTCGGGCTGTGATTGGAACGACTTGTAAGAAATCGGATTCCTAATAAATTGGAACGTATCTATATCTTATAGGGGGGTCGACTGTACATAAAAACAAAATTAACACGAGCAATTATTTTATTGTGATATCATCGCAATGCTGGGCTGCAATTTTTAATCATATTTTTAATTTATTTCATTTAAAATATGTTCTCCACCTTAAATTAATGATGTAGTGTCTTGCCCCTGTTCAATATTAATAGTATTGTAAATATGTGTATAAAATATACAAAGAAATAGGTGTACCACAAGAAAAACTTGCCAAGTTGGAGGTGCCACTATTTGAAAAAGATTGAAAAAAACACTGAATTAAGATATCAGTTTATTGTTCCAAGAAAACCAGGAGCAATTCTAGATGATCAAAAATCCCAGAAATTTTTAGAGGATGGTCTGTCCCTTTACCATATAGTTGCTCCCATTATAGGGCCAAGCAAGCCCATGATGAATATGATTAAAAGGCTCTTAGTACTTACAGGAAAAAAAAAGAATAAAAGTTAAATAAACTCAATGAAATATTTAATTATTATGTAATAATGTGTCAGATTATAGTGATGTTTGTTTATATATGCCTTGACAGGGTTTGCGATGGCCGGTTGAGTACTGTACCTTAGGAGCTGTTTACAGGATGCAGGCACTGGATGTGTCTCCAGCTGGCACCATAATAACTGTTGATGGTAATAACATAATGTTACATATACTGGAATACAAGATTGAACCTGAGGTCCAGGTAGCTTAAGTGGTGGCGCATCTGCATGGTAAGCAGGTTCTAGTCCCGCTCCGGGCCGATTCTTTTCTCCCAGTAGTTCTAAATTATTTAATTAAAAATTATAATTATTAAATTTATTAAGAGATGACACCTAACGCCTCCCTCTAGTACCAAATTGTTTCATAATTTTTTAGTATTATAGCCCAATGACATGTGGCATTGATTGGCTTGTTGAATTATCAAATTTTTGATTCTAAAACAAATACACAATATAATGCTTATACAATGCCAGCTAATGTTTTAATGTGGCCCACTGTCTTAATTCAGCAAAAACACATCATTCGTTTTGTTAATAAGTATCAAAATATTCATGAATTTATTCTCAGTACAGTAGAACTCCAATTATCCAAACTACCACTTGCCCTCCTCTCTCCCCCACTAATGTCACATTGCAATTCTCTTATATCATGCAACAGACCCAAATATTTAATAGGATTCTATGTGAAAATTGATGAATAAATAAATACAGTACATGTATAATACTGTGCTGTTATACTGTAATTTCATTCTCTATGTTAATCCAAATCACCTGAAGAACGAATCAGTTCAGATAATCAGAGTTCCCTGTATTTTAATTTAAATCTGTATAAAGTATTTCAGTTATTATAGTTTTATATTGTTGAATTTGTGTATAATCTATAATACTTGTTTAATGTCTACACAAATATATTTTAACTACAATACTGTGGTCCATTTAAAAACATTTTAACCTAATGTGGCCTGGAGCATCAGTTTTGGACCCCTGTTCAAATGTGATAACAGTTCACTTCATTAAACAATAAAGTATACGTTTAAAAGAAATGTAATAAATATAATAAATGTTTATAATGAGAACTGTGAGAACTGACCTTTAATTTATCTAGAAGTGATAACCACAAAGGATATTCTTCAGCAACTGGATCAGTTTCATGATCTGATATATTACCAATCTTCACATGTCCTATAATGTACAATCCACTTTTCTTTAAATCGTTAGCGAATGAAATAAGGGGAATACAGGAACGAGGGTTTGCAACCAAAAGAAGGAACTGCGGACGCCAGAACTTGACGTGATCTTTTCGGCTATCCAGAAGTAGAAGATATTTACGGACCTGTAATGTAAATTATTTGTTTACAAGACCATTAATTAACACATAACGGGTGATTGATCAATGGATGTGGTGCTTCAAAAAGTAATTGGCATAGTGATGCAATCTGGAAAGGTTGCATAATAGCAGAATTGCAGCATATTGCATTGCATAGTATGGTTTCTGCTATTATGCAACTCTTAATATAGATTTAAAAATATCTGGTAGATTCTTAAAGTTTACTAGAGCTATGGAAAGTCAGATGACTCCTATTCTAAGCTAACTAGAAAGATACTTAACATCCAAATATAACCAAATCTGGTATAGTAATATTTTGGGACATAGAAAAGACATTTCCATAGATAAAATTTAGTACTAAACTCATCACTAAAGCATTTTTGGTGCTGCAAGCAACAAACATTTTATTTGCACAAGACACTCATGCTATACAGAAACCTTAGTGATGCCACTCTGCAAGATCTTCTGTGGCCACCACACATCTACTTCCATTCTAATAAGGTCATTGCAAAGGTCAGTCAGGTTTCTCTATTGACAGCGAGTGACACTAGTTGCTGTGGTTGATCTCATACAGATAACATTACAACAACTTTCTCAATACCTTCTACATGGTGCCATAAGATACACACAACTGCTGTGTACCTTATACCACATGTATACTCAGAACTTGCCAGCAACACGTATGCTTATGCAAGGGATATTGCTTTTTCATTTCCATTTTAAAATTAGTGTAATTATTACTTGAGAACATTGTAATGTACATTAAAACATTGGAAACTGTCCAAGTTTCACATTTGCCCACCAGTAATCAAATTCTTCCAATGCTTGATACAGCATATCCATTGTCACTCTCAACAGCACCCATGGCTACAAAAATTCTACAGTTGTGAAGCTTCTGCAATGATAAGTGATACTGACTTTACTAGCTGCAAAACACAAAACACCTTCTTTGTCTCACAGTTGCCATTTTCATTTATGGTACTTCCTAGAGGTAGTAGACAAGAGATGTTTAAGTGCAAATTGGAGATGAAACTTAGACATTTATTCTATCAATTGGAATATGTCACACCCTTCTTGGATATTTAACATAATTACAGTGGTTTAAAATGAAAGCATTCATTTCGAAAGACCCTGTATATTTGGTAATAGACATTACTCTTAGTGGTATATCAATACCATTAACATGAAAAAAATCATAACATTAAGGCTGATATGATTTATGTCAATATCCCCATCTCATTCATTTACTCACAAGTAACATTTTGTTCAATTGCCCAAAATATTTCTATACTTAAAACATTTTTTAATTTCTAAACTTAAAACTTTAAATCTTACCTGATGAAAAATCAATGCTTGACTAATAGAGCCCCACTGAACAGTAGGAGCTCTGAGATGTAGCACTATGAACAAGATTAAACATAGCAATACGGCAACGGAACCAAACAGAGGACTAATAAAGAACATCATTACAAGACAGCCGAGTAAACCAATTACTGTTGTATGCCAAGAGAAATATTTAAATGAGGGTCTGAAAAAAAAACCAAACATCTTTTTTAGATAAATTTAAAAGTATTAATACACAAAACAATATCCTCTACTAACCTGAAATTAGGAGCAGATGCTAAATCCAAAGCTAAACATGCTAAATTTGTGGCAAAGTAAGATAGCAAAAAGAACACCGATGTAATCTGAGCAATCATATTTAATGATCCAATAAATAATATCAGCTGTATTAATAAAATTTTAATTAAGAAAACGATACTGATATATTAATATATACATATATATAATATATATATTTTTGTTTTGAATTTTAATTTTAAAAAAATTTAGTAAACTTTAAAAAATAAGTTCCTGAAATGATGAATATTTATAAATTTTTTTTCCAATTTGTAACCATGTCTTTTATCTGCGTTTATCTATATTGCACAATAAGGTACATTCAATAGACACCAAGCTTTACTTTACATCTGTCTTTACTCTGCTGTTTAGGTACCGCAATGTGTGTAGGCACCTAAACAGCAGAATAAGACAGATGTAAAGTAAAGCCTGGTGTCTATCAAATGTACTTTATTGTTCAATACAGATCAATATAGAACTTAGCTTTAAAGCTTACTAAATTTTTAAGAAAATAATTACTCTCTCATCTTTATTTGCTGAAAATTTTAATTTTTTAAAATTCTTCTTTGTAATACATTAAATAGTTACCTGAACAAGAAACCAAGAAATAAAGACTCCAAGTATTGGATTTCCGTGATAGGAATATTTTGCTACAGGTCTTAAAATAATACCTAGAAAAAACATTACTTAAGTTAAAATTCAAATTCATTTGCTCTGTTAAAATTCTTATACATTACATTAAATATTTATAGACAAGTCTTCAAAAACTATGCTTAAAAACCAAAATATTAATCACATTAATTGATGACAAGGAAGTAAAAACATCAGATTGCAACTCTAAGGGATACAAGTTAAAGTCTAGATTAAAATTTTTGTCGGTTTTAGCTTAAAAACAATAAAGGTCTAAAATTGTTGATTTCATTTTTTCCCCCTTATCTGCCTTTTTATCAGAGACCAAGGACCTACACCAAGGATACTCATAACAGAAAAACAATCATTTACAGTCGACCCCCCCCTATAACACTGGTTCCTATAGTTAGGATTCCTATATCACGGCGAAAAAATTGCGACAGTATTTGTACAAACATGCTAAAAAACTCGTATAATTTGGTAAAACATCATCGCCGATGCGTGTCACGACAGAATTGGTCGAATCTAGACCAATAGCGGATATTGCACAAACCGTTGAGTTTAAACGAGCAGTGGACCTACTAAAAACCATTTATTACTTAACGTCCATAAAAATTATATTTATATTAATGATGTCTCCAAAGTTCAGCGAATTTTTCGCAAAAAAAATAATTTATCAGGAAGCATGTGAGCGCCATTCGATGACAAGCTCCACGACAAAAACAAGCAATGGCGTAGTCAAACGGTGCACGCTCAGTAAGTAATCCTACAATTTTTTTGTTTATAACATAGTTTATATGGATTATTCCCAAAAAATTATATGTATTTTGGAAATGTTGAGTCGAATTAGTCTAGAATCGATTAATTTTATGGAAGAAAACCTTTCAAACAGCCGTAGTCCGTAAACTGCATACGTGCCGGGCTGTGATTGGCTAGAACGGAACGT